CGCTGCTGATCACGCACATGATATTAAAAAAGATGAACGTTAGTTTATAAATAACTTCAAAGTTGCTTTTTATGAGTTTTATGATTCAATTGAAACATTAAAGAGAGTGACGAGCCTTTGTAATAATAGAACAACTCAAGTGGTATCAATTAGATAATTGGATAGGTCAACAGAATTATGCAATTGTAGCGAAATTATGTCGTTGCATTATGAAAATGTCACAAAATTAATAAAATATTTAAGACATTATTAATGCTGTTGATTAGTTCCAGTTAAAGGTGAATTGCTACGCTGTCAGACAAATTTGTTTTTTTTCCAGTGATATGGAAGAAATGTTAGTACTTATGTACCATTACAATTTTAATAGTCTTAGTATTTTATATTTTATGGTTTACTACATTGTATCTATCGACGAGAGAGGAGCTCTACGGCGCAGGTGGCTAGCGCGTTTGGCTGCAATCGTTGAAGTTTTGAACAACTTTCGCAGTGGTCGGTCATTGGATGGGTGACCAAAAATTTTCTATCTCGAGTTCCTCCGTGCTTCGAAAGGCACGTTAAGCCGTTGGTCCCGGCTGCTTTCGCAGTCGTTAGCACCCGCCAATCAGCACTGGGCCCGCGTGGTGTGTCATGGCCCTATCTCCCTATTCCATCCATAGGGAAGGCCTGTGCCCCAGCAATGGGGAAATTAATAGGCTGATGATGATGATGATATATCGACACGTGTTAAAAACCGCCTTTATTGGTTTCTTCGAAAACTGTGTAATGTATGTTTTATTTTATGTAATTTTTTACTATAATATTTCAAACCATTTCAGTATTAAACTTAATTATGACTGATTTATTTACCGTATAGGTACGTGTATACTAAAGCATGCTTTTAATATTTACAAGTCAAGTAAGCGACATTAAGTTGGAACTCAAGAAAGTTTTTAAAGAAAATAAGAAACACGGTGAAACAGAGCAGATAATAATAATACGAGCATTATCTGGTATTATTAAGTCTCATTCAATTACTGTGGAGTAAGATTAATTGATTGATATGTAAGGTGAAAAAGAAATGGGATTCACGTATAAAGATGTACATTTAGATAAGACGTCCAATTAGAGTTGTAATAAAGATATGGTATCTTTAATCAGCTTTCAAATACATTATTTTTGCAAAGTGATTCATAATAATTTCTTTGTAATTTGTACAAGTAAGGATTATGATAAAGCGTCATTATTCATGCTACATATTATTGGGTAAAACTAAAAACCTTCCAAAATAAAAAAGTTATTTTTGAGTGTGTATGCTATATGGTCGTAGATGACCTTTACAGCGCCACCGGGTTTGGGGACGGCGGGGTATGGGGACCTCAAGCCAGGAATTGGCGCGTGCCTCTAGAGGTATTCCAGGTGGATGGCGTCTCCCCGCGGGGGGACTCTCCTCTCCGTCTGGAGCCTCTAGACCACTCGAACCTGAGGGGGTCGGCCCAACTAGAGGGCGTCTTTGAGACTCGGACCTCGGCTCTGTAGACCGGGTCTTCGCACTCTTATCCTACGAGTGCGGTGCAGACACCGCACTAGCATTAGGCAGACCTAATGCTAAGCTAGTTTGCTACCTGTGTAGTGTTGGTGTTTGTGGCCTGTGTGGAGGAATCGGAGGCCCGTTGGCGCGGGACATTTAGGTGATATGTATAATGATATTATAGTTAATTAAGCAACTGTTGTATAATGAGGGCTATCAAGACACAAGATAGTACCACATGAGTGTTTTGCTACCTAATAATAACAGTTGCATACAAGACTATATCTACATCATCATCATCATAAGCCTATTAATGTCGCCACTGCAAGGGCACAGGCCTTCCCTATGGAAGGAATAGGGAGTTTGTGCCATGACTCACCACGCGGGCGCAGTGCGGATTGGTGGGTGCTAACGACTGAAGATGCAGCCGGGACCAACGGCTTAACGTGCCTCCCGAAGCACGGAGGAGCTAGAGATAGTAAATTTTTGGTCAACTATCCAATGACCGACCACTGCGAAAATTGCTTAATTTCAACGATCGCAGCCGAATGCGCTAACCACTTGCCCCATCGAGCTATTTATATCTACATACATGATATGAATCATCTATTAAAGATTCTGAGTGTTGGGCGTTTTAAGAACTTTAAATTCATGAAAAGTTTCGACGCTGTAGTAGCGAAATGCGCGTGAATGACAATGTTTTCTTTTTTAATTTCGTAATACCACGCATCGAGCAGTGAAAATTATGGCTGTCTGATGAATAAGCCCTTGGCGTGGAAGGGATTTAATAAGCGAAAGTGTTATTATTAATTAATTATATATTAAATTAAATTAAAATAACCGGCCAAGTGCGTGGGGTGCCACGCGCAGTGTAGGGTTGCGTATAGTTGCCTGTAGTTACCACAATATATTTGAGCAGGAGTCTTTATTTTCTATGTCGGAAATTAGAAAAACCAATGAATATCAATCTATGTATCTCAACTAAAATACCTAAATCAAATACAAACTGCATCTCTTTCAAATTCAAAATCAATTCATTATTATTATTTTTTTAAATACGAATGATAACCGCCGATTTTTTTTTGTTTTCTCTCAGGCGGGGTAGCGGGTGTGGAATCCTCATGGATATACCCTACAGCCGGCTGCAAGGTTATGTGAGACTCTTACAGACTAAAAGCCCCACCTGAAGCGATTATCCCCTGAGAAGTGGGCGATGCGGTATAACCGCCGATCTTTTCAAGTGCTAATATAATTTCTAAAAACGTAACGTATTCTAAATTAATGCTGTGAAAGCCAATAAAATGTTTTTCTTTATTTCTTTCTTCTTTCTAACGTTAGCGCGACTCGGAAGCCGTTGTCGTTGGTACTCGCGGTAGCATTGTGGAACTAATGATATTTTATTTTGGTTTTTAAATATCTGTTTATTTTTAAATTTTGTAGCAATGCAAGGTTTTACGCTACATTAACTTCATCAATATCACTTTTATTTTCTAAGGAATTTTCAATAGGTAAGAAATTTTCTTTAGCCAAAGTTGAACCACTCCTACTCTTAAAGTAACAAATCTTTCTTAACCGTTATAGTTCTCCCTAAAAGTTCATAAAAAGCACTATTCACATGGATTTTTCCAGTTTTTTCAAACCAATAGTTTAGCTTTTAGAGGGGGAGAGACGCCCTACTAGAACAAAAATGAGCACTTTGAAGTTCAATATTTCGCAAACGGATCCCTTAATTTGAAAAATAGTCTTGGGAACCCCTGAGTAATGTTAAAGGACCTATTTATCAATAAATCCTACCAACGATATCCCACATAATGGGGTAGATGATGAAAAAAAAATCATCCCCAGTAACATGTAGATGAGCTACACATTTTTTTTTTACCATTTTGTCGCTGTGATTGATATACATATCTCCACAAAATTGCAGCTCTCTAGTGCTAATAGTCTCCAACAAGACCGGGGATAGAGACGAACAAGACGAAACTATAAGGGTTGCTTGTCAGGACTACGGAACCCTAATAAGCCATCATAACACCCAAACGGGTGTTATAATGTTTTATTTTAATTATGACATTGGATGTTTTAATGTTGGCAATAAGCTAACTGTTTCAGAATCTTTAATAGAGGTTTTAAAGCAAAGGGGTAGATAACGGTCCTTTACATCATTAAACATCATAATAAAGTACAATAGAAGTTGAAACTTAACGAAGTCTGCAGCAAAATAAAGGAGCAAAATGATCGATCCTTACAAAGTAATCAATGAACTAATTACAATCCATTAATAAGAAAAACGATATATGAAAGTGAAGACTCGTTGGCAAGACGCGTAGTCGGGATATATTTAGAACCTACTGCAGACTTGAAGCGCGGGAAAACTGGTGCGAAAAGTTTATTCAACAAAAACAAAAGACTACCTTTTCCCACAAAACGTATACGCAAATTACATGCATGTCGTTCTCACCTTATTCTGACTGAATTGTTTTGCTCAGTAAATAAGCAAGTAGGTACATACTTATTATTGGATGTGTGTTAGTAAAGTGTCAAAAGAGGGCAACTGCTCGAAGAAGTGTAAATATCTACGATATATATTGTATGTTATTCAAGGGCGGATCCAGCTTTGGAGCCAGGGGGGGTCATATAGTCGTGGTCAAGTCACAGTGGGTACAGATTGTGAAGTGGGTACAGATGTACCCAGCCTAGGGGGGGGGGGGGTCATGACCCCCATGACCCCCCCCTCTGGATCCGCCCTTGATGTTATTGGGAGATATTTTGACTGGTAAATTGGTTTTTACAATCACGTGAGATTGATATAACGACGACTAAACCCCTGGTATTTGTTTCCATTCATCTTTATTTCTTGATCTCCAGTGAGTCAAACACTTAGATCTGACATGAGTAAAGAAGCTAAAAACTTACAACTGACCAGTTACTGCCTAACCCATTCAGACTGTTTGAAATCATTCAGCGGTTCATTTCAGAAACTACTCTAGAAAATTGGCGATCAACCTGTTCTATCGGACAACAATTTTAAACTAAACTTGGCTAAATTATGCGTTGTTGAGTTGCAGCTATGGGGGATGAGAAAAACATTTCAATTTATAGTTTTCAATCTGTTGCAGTTTTGATGCTGCGCTAACCGCTTGGCTTTTGTTTGTTCTAAGTGGTCTAGGCGTTGTAATAGTCTATGTACGTATGTTGTTATATGTATGTTTCTGTTTTATATTTCATTTTTGATAAATTTTCTTAACGTAAGCTTTATTTCCCATCCCACACCCAGAGTCCTTCGAAGGCTGACCTTGAACCAAATATTTATGAAATGCATACTGCGAAAAAATGTGGTCTCAGCCAGCCTATTATACTGTATTTAGCGATGTCTGTAGCGAACTGTTAACAAGCGTAGTCAAATAGCTACGACTGGATGTCCACGCGGAAGACGGCCCGACTTAGTAATCTCGAAGTCGACCATAAGCCGATTGTTAATGAAATATACACTCACAGCGAAGAAATGTGGTCTCAGCCGGCCTATACTGTATTTAGCGATGTCCGTTGTGAGCTGTTGACAGGCGCAGCCGAACAAAAACACGCCGATGACTCGATACGCCTCCCACACCCACGGCGGGATGTCCAGACCGAAGATGGCCCGTGGACGTCCTTTGTAGTCCCGAAGCCTGATCCATTCCGTGAGACTCATCTGAGGACAAGAAAAGAGGTTTTATGAGTATAGCCTTACAGAGTATTTATCACAGCTTGCGTTTAAAGAGTATCATAGATGGCTATTTATCAGTTTGCGTTATTAATTCGAACATGTGTTTAAGTATGTAACAGACAAACATTATAATTATCAGCCTATCGATATTACTAAAGCGTGTTTCCCTGTAAAACTTAAACTTACAATAAACATTCATGAGTACTCATACTATTCTAAAGCAAATACTATCGAAAATAAAATATCAATGATGCTTGATGAACAAAAAGTTACCAAGTATGGTATTCATTTGATAACATATTAACGTGTTAGAGGAGTGGCCAGGCCATTCCATTAGTTTGGCGTAAAACGTTGGCGCTCCCTGCGTCGCGTGTCGTAAAGATTATATTATTGCTAAAGACCGTACAGGCACAGTCGGCAAAAAGGTTTCAATGCTAAACGCATATAATTTCGTTAAAATTGCATGTACAGCGCAACACGGACGTGTTAAATGCAGCCTCTGTGTAGGTCAACATAATTTAAACGCAAATTTTCAATATCGTAATCTTAATTCTGACTGGCTTAAAAGTGCAAATGTTTTTTAATGCAGCAGTTACTTAAACGTACAAGTTATTTGGATTGTAACAATAATGAAAGGTGTTTCGAAACATGAAGTAAATATACTTTATCTTAATCTTATGATCATCATTTCTCTTGTGGGCTGGAAGCAAAAAAATATGCGCTAGCAGCTGTTAACATTTCAATACTGCAGATAGTAAAAGTCTTTCAATGGACACGGGAGTTATTAACATATTATATAATAGGCAAGCTTTAACTATTGTTTTCGGACGTGTGACTGTGGGAGAGATTTTTATAAATACCTTTGTTGTTCCCAATCTTGACGCCTTCCTCGTGCGGGCTCGTTTCGTTTTCGTTTCTGTACTGAAAATCTGCACAGATTCTTTACCGAGAACCACTTGTTTCGTTTTGTTTGCGAGACCGACGGGACGGGCAGTCGCAGCATTCGAAAGCACTCGATAAAGAGAGCTGTGTATCCGCTCGGTAAAGATTCTGAACCGAAATTACTCAGTGCAGAAGCTCTCATTTATTTATTTATATGCACTCACTCAGTAAAGGTTCTGTACAGAAACGAAAACGAAACAAAGCGCACCGACCTAGTGAGGAAGGCGCCTTAAGCTGCATCTCTGATGATTTGCTTTCGCATGTCAAATCACTTTCAACGATACTGTTCTATACAGAGAGAACAGTACCCCTAGCACGAACCATTATCGAATTCAATTCAAATTGTGTATGGAAACTTGAACAGCAACGCGACAAAGTACGTAATGAGAACAATAAATCACTGTCAAATGTGTACTGATTTTTAGTTCTCGTTACGTCTGTTATGGTGCTGTTCAAGTTTCCATACAAAATTTAATAGTAAATAAATAAATAACTAAATAAATATTTCCAATACCCACACCAATTAGCCTAGCCCCAAAGTAAGCACTGTAAGGCTTGTGTTATGGGGTGCTAGGGTAATACATCTGTACATATATAAGTATATATATATAAAGAATATTTTACATTCATGACTGAAGTACAAATGCTCGTATTCATCACACAAACATTTGCCCCCACCGGGTTTGAACCCGGGACTCTCGAGTCGGCGACACCATGAAACCCGGCGTTCAAACCATTCGGCCACGGAGGTCGTCATAATGACATTTTGCACTCGCAAACAATTCGAATTTGATATTGATTCGATTCTGAGGGTACAAATATGATTTAACACTTCTAATCGAAATCTGTCATCCTAGACTAAAAACTCAATAGAATATTTTTCTTGTTCAGTTTTTTCTATAGTTTTCCTGCCTGATACTTTTAATGATTTTAATAAACTTTAGCAGATTGTTTGGACTTTTAGCTTATGTTCGACGTAAAAATGAAAGTTGAAGGAGACGATGAAAATTAGCATGAAGAAAATATTTTTCACAAAGTCAAAGCCTAAGACTAGTTCAGACCACCAGCTTGTAGTATAAAAAAACTAATAGTTAAAGCATCAGCTATCCTAAATATCAGTTCTAACCGAATCTTTACAGCGAAAAATTTTCCAAAGTAACCTTTTGCAACGTGCTTATGGCCTTGCAAATTATAGCTCAAGGTCGGGTCGCACGCGCACTGAATATTGCCATTCTACATACGATATCAGACTTATCGGCTAACTTGTTCAGTTACAGCACGAGTGTCATAGAAACTAACTATATTGTAGCAAAAGTCAAGCAAACTTTAAATTGAGTCTATTGCTTGATGGCAGTAACACATAAAGCTAATAACAACAAATATTTTTTGTTAATATGCCGTTCCTGATAAAAGTGTAAACCAAAATTGCAATTAAATCTGTTTTACCCTTGCAGATTTTACAAGAAAGTTAAATTATTTCTGATAATTTAAAGAAATGAAATTAATGAAGGTTGTTAAATATATTTTTTTTAAAACCACACTTTTATAACAAAATAATGGAAAATAGGAACGTATCCCAAGGAGAGATGATTTCTATACCTATGTAGGTTTCTAGAATACATTCGTTGCAAGTTTTTTCTTGCGTATGATAATTCAAGTGCAGTAGAATTTCCTTTACGGGTAGTTTCTGATCGTTTCTTGTTGAAATAGGTAGCTTGATTACTGAATACTATATTAAGAACTACTTGGTAAATTCAGTTAAATCGGAGAGCGATAAAAAATGAAACCGCCGATATCGAGCTAACACGAATAAAACTTGTAGTAAACTTAGGTACCACTAAAAAAAGAAAATACAGGCGTTCAACACAAACTTAAAAAGAAAATTTAAAACGAAATTTGCTTACCCATGGTTTTAAAACCGTGTCTAACATTTTTGTAGTACAGCCCGTAGTGTTTTATCATATTATGGATTGGATAAGAATACAAATGATCATGATTTATAGGTGAATAGGACAAATACCCGCCAATCCGCACTGGTCTCGCGTGGTGGGTCATGGCCCAATCTCCCTATTCTATCCATAGGGAAGACCTGTGCCCCAGCAGTAGGAACATTAATAGGCTGATGATGAGGACAAATAGATAATGTGAAATTTAAAAAGATATAAAAATAAGTGAAACAAATATAAAAGCAGGCTCTGTGAGTCACACATCAAATGGTGTAAATGGGAACTAATGAGGCGTCAATAATGCAGCAGGCAACGGTGAGCAAACATCAATGCTAGTGGAATGGTACTAAACGAGAATAAACACACTAGTCTGTTCGGGTTTTTAGAAAGTGGTAAGTTATTCCAAAAAATCTGTTTCAAAGTTTTTGGAATAATACTCAGAAATAGGTGATAGTTGCAGCGCTAATGATGGATCAGTTTAAGAGTTATAAAGTGTAATAGATGCTAATAAGGTACCAAGGATTAGGAAGTTACAATCAACTGATATTCATAGGTGGTTTTCTTGTACAGAATGCATGTCTCTGTTAACGGAAGCCTAATTTGCCTTCACGCTTTTTTTTATTACGCAGGCAAAACCTCTATTTACAGACGTTGGCGCCCTTAAGGGTCACACCAACGAACGGAACTCACACCTAGCCTCTCGCAAATCTCACGGCGAAACGGAAAAACCGTTAAGCAATCTGCGCTGCTTACGAGCGCTTGCGACACACTATCCACTAAAAAAACCCTGCGAATACCCTCTACGCTGTTAAAAGCGGAACCGCAAGATCCCCGTTGAGGGACTTCACCGCTTCTCCGCACCCAACAGCCTCCCGGTCCAGCCGGGGCTCCACGGCAGGCATCATCCGGGGTATCTTGGATGATCCCGCAATTTGCCTTCAGGCCTAAACTACTGAACCAACTTTGATGAATTTTGGTAAAATAGTTTAACTAATATCCATCAAAGTTGATAAAAAAGAGAAACCTTGAAAAAAGACAAAGACGAGAAAATAAATCTTACCAGGGTGAAATTGTAGATGGTTATATGGTAAATCAATCTTTTTATGCTGATCAAGTCAAGATCAAGTGGGGATCTCTTAGTATGGCATTCTTTACCATAACACTGGACATCATCAAAATCCTATTAAATATAAGTTGCAAAGCATGCATTAAAAATTGCGTACGCACTGCCGATGAAAATAATGAAAAGAGCCCGAAGTCGAAAGTAGTGTTATAAACATGAAAATTTCCAATGAAAATACTAAAAGGTCCATAGGTTGACGAATTTACAAGGTAAAGTTTGTTTCCGGTATTACTTACAATGTACAATTCTATGTATGTACAATGCTGCTTGCCAAGATTATCGTTATTTAGTTCACATACTTCGGTCAGTAAATAACATTTCCATTAATAGTGATAGTAAGGAAGTACTTTTCTAAATGGTGTTTGGTTTACTTTTCCAATATTGTCGGCTTAGCTTGGATTTTGCTAAGTTATTTGACATTTGGGAAAGTACGCAACTGTAAAACGCTTGCAACTATACGCAAGCTAAATTATCGTAAATGATTATCATTACTTAAGGCTTAGCGGAAAATATTAACAGATAAAAGACAAAACGATAACTTTGTTTAGCGGTAGATTTAACACATTAAAACTTTTAATCTCAAGAATATATTACTAGAAACGATTCCACTCAGCCCAGATTTCAGGCGGGATTTGAACCTGAATCTTCCGCTAACCAAATATAATACCGAAACTTTAATGGCCGAATTTCCTCTAATATTCCTAGGGCTGCAACGCAACACCATCTCTTCGCATTGTAGGTAACCCACATGTCAAATTTATACCTTTCCAAGTATTAAGCAGTATTAAGCATTTGAAAGAAGAAATAGCAACTGTAGATTATCATCTAAAGAAATTTTTTATTAGGAAATATTCTACGCGGACATGGCAACAACGGGACTCGAACCCGTACACTCTGCTATCCGGGCGAATGTTACATGCTTATTTTTTTTTAAATATCTACCCGGTAGATGTATACATTTAAAGAACTATTAT